TTTTTTCTTTTTATTTTTTACTATTTTGTCTAAAAGACTTATCTCCTGAATTCAGTGACTAAATGGGAATTTCAGCTTTCATAAAATAAAGATCATGACTGCAGAGAAAAAAAAWTTGAAATTTGCTTCTGCATAATTCAGTGTCTAAAAAGGTAGATAAATACAACCTTACTAAGTATATTATTTTAACCCATGCTACTTCAAAGTAATAACATGCTTTCTTAGGCCTGACTTGTCATTTCTGAATATTGTTAAGTTGGCAATAATATTGAATTAACATGTCCTGACTGTAGCTGATATGCTTCAGTGTAATTTTAAATTTACTACAAAAAATTTATTGTATTTTTACTGGTAACTGAGTGCCTCATTTCACTCACATTTCTTTGCATCTAGGAACTCCCTGCAAGCATCTACGGAGTATTAAATATTTTCATCCTGTTTTAATACCCACTTTTTTATGAACATCAAAAGTAACTTGAATTCCTGCATCTGCTTAGCTCATCTGGATTTCCCTTGACAGATGTTTCATTGCAACTTTTTAGGCTGATGTTTATGAAAATACATAGTCTATCCTAGTTTCTATAATACCCAGGGAAATTTGTAAAACTTAAAAGCAAATTTTGTTACTTCAGATTCTTTCATGGTTAAAAAAGGCACTGGGGGGGCCTGCCTCATACCCTTTAATAGCAGCACTGGAAATCCAAGAGCATCTGTCATCAAGTATGCAGATAACTTTCAAATAGAAAATGTTAAGSTTTAGGTGTCAAAACAGCTGGGAGATTTTTATCTGTTTATGATGTGTTTCTGAGTGCTGATCCAGCCTGAGTGTCCTTCCATCCAAAGCAGAAATCATCACCTTCATAGCTGGGAAGTTCCTGGCATGGCTGGCTGTGAGTTAAATCAACAGTGTGTCTGCATTCAGCCCAAGCATTGCCTGCACAGAGTAGCCTGAGGGAGTCTGTGGGCAAAACCAGAAAGGTTAGAGGTAAAAAAAAAGCTGTCCATGCACAGAGATGTGAAAAAAATCTCAGAGGATTTACATCTCAGATCAGCTGTGAGAGGTCTGTCTCTGTGCATGTATCTCGCTAATAACACTAATGTGACAAGAAGATGGGAAGAACATTTCAAATGTTTTACAGCAGTGTCTGAATTGTTTTAGACACAAATTACAATTGAGATAGGAGTCTAAAATCAGCATTTCCTACACTAGCCTCTGGCTGTGGTTGTACAGCATGAGGCTGCTTGCGTCTAGCCTTGTTAAGTGGAATTTTCACGTTACCTCTCGACCTCAGGAAGGATGCTGAAGACTGACTTCTACATGAGATCCTTCTTTTGGGGGATGAATAATCTGTTCCAGAGCGGACATGCAAAAATAAAACTGCTCCAGAATCAGCAGCTGCTTTAGAATATTGGGATATATTCCAAACGTTGCAAGGGAGATTGCCCAAAAATGTTCAGATGGTGAAAACATGTGAATTCCTGGCAAAGGGAAAAATAAAAATCCGTACTTCTTTCAACATGAGAAGGCCCCTGGCATTCATGTGCAGTGCACAGTTGTTCAGCTTCAGCAGGGAGGGGAGACTGTTTCTAAGCAGAGTTCTGCATAGGCTGGTGTTCAGAGCAGGGTCCCATGATGCCACARGTGGAGTCATTCCAGGGTCGATGATTCTCTTCTGGTGAGTGCTCTAGCCAGGGGGATACAATCCCCTTCCACAGCCATGGTGTCTCAGAAAACAGGAATAAATTTTCATCCCCAAATACTGCTGTTAGTCTAAAATGCCCATAAAAACACTTTTGCATCACAGCCTGACAAGGGCACTCACACTCTTGGCTAACTGCATATTTCCAGTTTTTCTTTTGGAAGATCTTTATTGCACCAAATTGCTGTATTGTACCATGTTTCCAGATACACCAAATCATATTTACAACTCTCTAAATATTACATGTAGCATCTAAGAATGTCAGTGCTGTGAAAGCCAGTCATTAACCAGGTCTTTTTTTAGGTAGCACATGGCTGAATGACACAACCCATTTTCCCACATGATTTTCCTCATTGTTGACTTCAATGAAGACTGGATAAAATTCTTTTCAATTTGCTGAAATAATTGACTAGCCTTCCAGTCTTAAGAGTTGATCTTACTGCATCCTACCATGTCAAATTTTGTCTTTTAATAAACCACCTTCCATCCAAGAAGGGCTAGGTGGGGTCAGTCAATGTTCTTGGCCACACAAATTTCGCTGGAGTAGAACCAACACTAAAGCAACAGTGATACTGATGCTGCAGAAACTGGCTAAGAGACAAGTTAAATGACTTCATAGTGTGGGGCTCCAATTTCCTTTGTTGCTTTGCATCTGGAATGAAACCTGAAATATTTTGAAACAAAATTAGTGTCTGTAGCTTCATAATATGTTTATTATGACCCTTTGCAAAACTACAAACTTGAATGTGGTTTTTCTCAAGATCAAATCATGATTGACTTTTAATGTACCTAGCTCATTTCCTATGTAAGCTTGAAATATGGCTTAGAATTTGCTATAAAAATGATTGTGTTAAAATTAAGTTGCAATAGACAATCATTTATTATACATAGATTATACACATATGAAGTTATAATGTTAAAGGTTGGTCAGTATATTAAGTCTCTCTATAACTATGTAGGAACACAATGACATTTTTCTGCTGCAAAGCATCATGGATCTAGGATTGCTTGGTTGGCTTATTTGGCTGTCATGACTGCTGGTACAGCAGGGAAGTACCTTTCTTGAACAGGGGTAGATGGCAGAGAACACTGCTCTAGAAGGAGATAAATTATTTCTGTAACTAACCAAGACAACACTAACTCAGTCATTTTGTGTCTGAGGAGATTAAAGAAGCCCTTGACTACAGGGATTACTGAGTAGGAGCAGAAAGATGTAATTGTGTTCATATATGGTTATGGCCAGGCTGTTACTCATACACAGCCTTTGGTTCTGGTGACAGCAGTATTCAAAAGAAAAGGAGAAGCCATAGAGCTCATCAAGCATTACACTGATGCAGAGGATGGAAAAGTTGTCTGGAAATGAGAAATTTAGGGAATTTTGAGAAAATCCACTATAGAACAGCAGCGATTCTCAGTCAGCTAGCTGATAATCAACTCAGCAATTCTCAGTCAACTACCATTTAGACAAACAGTTCTCACTTCGTTAAGTGGGGTGATGGGCCTAAGCTGTTTGTGTAGCCCACACTGACCCAACAGTYCCAGCAGCAGAGCTCAGGGCTTTGCCTCTGCCTGCCTAGCTCTGACTAGGAGTTGAGTAACAGAGTTTCCAGTTCAGGCTTTTTATGAAACAGGACCAACATATCTTCCTTAGATCAGATGAACACTTAAATTCTTAATGTAAAAGGGGTGGAGCATTTTAAAATTTTCATTGTAACTTGCRTTTAGCCTATTTTTCCTAAGGAAATGAGAATTATGTGATTCTGTTCAATGCATTTCCCTCTATGAAACATTCAGCATCAATAACTTTTGAACCCATRGTCATTTTCAAAACATTTTTCAGACAGTAAGAATACGAAAAGTAGTGATATTATCCTTCTGTCCTAAGGAATGGTGGTAATGTAAAGAGGAGTAATCTAAGTTAGTGCTCAATGAGGAAAAAGCAAGAAGTCAGCCATTATATTATTCTGCTTGGCAGCAGCTATTGATCAGTGAATCCTGTGTCTCTCTTTTGGAAGAAAGACGTGATGGGGAAACTAGAAACATGAAACACRTGGCAAACATCCACAGGAAGCACCAAGTTGCATTGTATTGCTTGTCATATTATTTCATACTTTTACATCACTTTCAATATCTTAGTGTTGATTTAAGAAACTTAAATATTATAAAATGTGASATAATATTCTGAAAAGACAGTTTTCTTTAACATGTCAATTATAATATTAACAAAATCCCAGGGAGAAATCATAGGATGGTTTCAGCTGGAAAGGACAATAAAGATCATTTGGTTCCAACCCTACCATGAGCAGGGATACCTTCCAATACACCACTTTATTCAAAGTCTCWTCCAACCTGACTTTGACAGAGTTATTCAGGACTTATAGGATTGTCTGCAAGGTCTTTTTTGTTCAGTTTTGGTTTTGGACAGTGAAAATAACACAAGAGAATGAACATTTTTCTTCATTTTCAATCTATTTAATCTAAAGTGAAGAGAATTATTAAACATAATTGCTAAATACAATTGGAAAATTCTGGTTATACAGTTAGAACACACATGCTTTCAGGAACTGGAATCCATTTACTCTTTGTAAGTCACTAGCCTAAATAATTTGATATATACTCTAGTACATTAATTTTCTTTTCACTTGAAGCATACTTAAATACGATTCCCGCACAGACTAAGATCATTCATCACCAACAGGAATATTCCTGTATGTCTTTTCACTTAATGCTGACATGTAGATTTTCCAGGTTCTTGGGTGGTGGCAGCCATCACTGCACAGGTAAGCTCTTAAAATATGTCTAACTAGAATGTAAGACATTCTTTGACTATGAAAATAGTATTGTTTTGTGGATTCATAGACACAGATCATAAGAAAAGCTAAGCTGACTAGACTCTGAAGTCTACAATCAGCCCTCTCTATTTCTCAAGGGTGTGATATCTCTAAATCACAGTTTGTCTGATAGCACACCTGAGTATGTCTGCAGACCATGACAATGTCAGTATATACTCTTAAAATTAATATAATCACCAACCTCAAAAGCTTCAGTCACTTCAGTAATTCCCAGAATATAAATGGTTCTATCAAATATGGCCTTTTCATGGAAAATTTCCATATGAATATTTTTTAAAGCCCTGCAGTTAATGCTTTTTTAGCATTTTTTTAGGCTTCTTGATCTATACCCCAACACTTTGTCCAATCAACTGGTCACTAACAAACTGTAATGTCAATTGAATAGATATATTCCTATGCTTGTGTTGCAAAATTATTCTGTGTCCACACGTAATTGTGAAATTCTAAGGGATATTCAAYATAAATCTGACTGTGGTGGAAATTTATTTACAACTTTTCTTTAMAGATTAATAAAAATAACTTTTTTTTCCTCAGAGTATCTTTTATGTATGATGCCTTTTGTACTGCTTCCAAAATGGATCTATCTGATGACAGAACTTTCTTTTTCCAAACAGGCAAATGGTTTAACTATGGAATTATCTTCCTTGTTTTAATCTTGGATCTGAATATGTGGAAGAACCAAATATTTTACAAACCTCATGAATATGGTCAATATATCGGYCCTGGACAGAAGATCTACACAGTGAAGGACTCAGAGAGCTTGAAAGACCTCAATAGAACTAAGCTATCATGGGAGTGGAGATCCAATAACACCAACCCGCTGACCAACCGGACCTATGCYGAAGGGGACATGTTCCTGCACAGCAGATTCACAGGCTCTAGCCTTGATGTCAAATGCCTGGCTTTTATTCCAAGTTTGCTGGCTTTTGCATTGTTTGGTTTCTTCATCTGGTTCTTTGGGCGATTTCAGAAAACTGACCAAGGCATGGAGAATTTAGACAAATCGTACACAAGAATGAAACGAAAGTCACCGTCAGATATGGGAATGACACGAGAAAATACACAGGTGTTAGAAGAACCATTGAATTTTCAAGAACCCCATATGGTATCCATAAAATCAGACTTAAGTGAAATAGTTTTTAATTCTTCTCTCCTGACTTCTGAAAACTTGAACGCACAACTGAATGAACAAGACAGCCCTTTACAGCCAGTACCAGAGTCCTCTGTCCCTAAGAATAATCCTGTGACATAGAAGCACATACCCAGGAAATCAGTTTAAATAAGCAGTTACTATAAGATTGCAGTTTTACCTTTTGTAAGTTAAGATTTACATAGTGTTTAGAATAAGAAACTCAACCTATACCAAGAGGTGCTCAGCATGCTTTTTCTAGGAATTTTGATTTTTATTTGTATTATAGTACGTGCCTATTGTATATCTAACATTCCTTTATAGATTGCTTCCCAAAATTGCACAAGCTATTTATGAATACATTAACTGTATAATAGTGTATTAGATGATTACTTGCAGGTATAAAATTCTACCGTGGTGGTGCCTTGAGACATTAAACTGTTTTTTAACTCAATGCCAGGTGTATAGCACAGTTTCTCATCTGTTTTGCAAAGCTTTTTGTATATGTTGTTTCAAGTATCATTTGATGTCTTGACAGAGAAGATAAATATACTWATTCCTAAAGAAGGTTTTCTGTTAGGGCATTACAGCTTGACTTTGTTATTTATTCATCTGTGAAATCAGAGATTTTGATGACCAGACTGCAGAGAAGCATGTTGATTACCTTTTAATTTTTCTGGCTAGCTGCCAAACACAAATACAAATTTATTATGCAGTAAGCAGCAGAGACATAATACAGCATGGGTCACTAGTTGTGAAAATATGAGTTTCTCCATCAGTAATAGCAATTAGGTGATAATGCCTAATTATGTTTTTCTTAATTAAAAATAAACTGCTCCTTGATTAAAAGTTTTGCCCTTCACCTTTTAGAAACAGGGGTGAAAATACATGGTTGAAGCAACTCTTTCCATCATCATTCCAACCCCATGCAACATCAAAGAGCCAATGGAGTGATTACAATAAAGGACACAAAGCCCATTAAATCCAGTATTTTTGCAATTCAGTGCAGATATGGTCTGGGTATATATGAAATAAATGGAGGAACACACTGCATATAGTCTAATTTCTCCAAATATTGAAGAAATGTTTAAGGTTTTTAATAAAAATAAATTAATACTTGAATTTTATTGCACATTTTCTTTTTCTTCTTCATTCATTATCTATGTGTATTCATAACCTGGAATCAGAAATAAAGACAAACTGGGGTTTTTGGTTTTTTTKSYTTTTTTGAAGGGGACTTGGTAATGTGAATTTCTCTGCTCTATGATTGAACTGTACACACTACAGAAATTGCATATCTAAAACATCAGAAAGACTCTGATTTGCCTCTAATTTAGCTCTATAAAATGTTGTTGCAAGTTCCCAAATAATAAGTAATTTTTAAGTCTGAATTATTTCCCTGTCACTTTCTGSTGTTGCTGTATTTTGTCTTTGTGACTTTTTTATCTCTGTTGGTTTTGATCTATTTGCTTTTAAGTTTTAAGAATGCTGAATTTAGCATGCATAATAGAACTATGCATTTATTAACTGTCACTTGAGAAMAAATTTTAATAAATATCATTCAACAATTGTTTATTATGAGGCAGGAACACATTCTGTTGGTTTTGCAATTTTTTTTAAACATTTTACCCATGCATTGCCCTATTTAAATTCATAAATATTTCTGACACTAAAAAGGACAGACAGCATCACAGTGATGTAGAAATCAAATATTTTGTTTATGAAATCTTGAATATTTCATCAGGAGAAATTTCACTTTATAATCATATTAATTTTTTAACCATTAAAAATTATGACTAAAGCCAAATCTATTCACTTTTGCCTACTGCAGCCTATAAACTTGTTTAATTGACTAACAATATAATCAAAGACAAGCCATTAATAACTAATGATAAAACAGCGTGGGATCCTGCTTGTACTATACAAGAGGTGATATACTGATGTTTGACATTTAAACAGCATTTGATTTYTTAAAAAGTTGCAGAAATAGCTGTTTAATTTTGCACATACATGCTTCTCTGTATGTTTTGGACACTGTAARCCCAAGTAGTGAAAATCTCTTGTTAACTCATTTTTCTATTTGTGCAGAGTGGTATTTAAATACCTTAATATGTAGGCAGAAAAATGAAAGAATTACTTGAGCCTAACAGTCTGCATGATTACTTGGCTCTGAGGCARCTCTTATTAAGCAACTGATTTCACAGCTAAAGTAATTCCTTGACCTCATATTGAGTTGATGCTTTTAAGGTCATTATAAGCATTCATGAAAGAGAGAAAACATCAAATAATTCTAGATTTTGCATGAGTATTTAAATTAATGGTCAAGCATAGAGACTGCTTGTATCATGAATTCATCAGAAGTTGAAAGATTCAGTGTAACCACTCGCCATGGTCAGCTCATCTAGTTAATTAATGGAGAACAGACTTCTCTATCATGTAGTCTCATTTGTAATCACACACATAGATAGGAGAAGTGAGGACTATTTCCATTCTCYAGTTCAGTGTTAAGTTTGAGAAGCATGAGTTAGGCAGACAGGCTTGCCCCCAGCATCTCCTGAAACAGGCAGAGGCTTGGGAGGTGAACACCCTAAAGGTGATTCAGTACCTAACTCAGTCATTTATCTCTGCRTTACTGAGTGGTGCAACTCAGCCAGAACAGCTTTGTGGAGTAAACAGTTGGTGCTGAGGACCCACAGTTTGTGTATTTCAGGGATTTACATCAGTTTAGCTCTCRTTTGGCCCTAATAGAGTGAATGAATATTAGTGGCTGGACACTTGCAGAGACCATGTGAACTGAGTTAGGGAAGAGTAAGTGGGCACACTCACAACTRCATTCCTGAGCTGAGCTGCTAATGCAGAGTCAGTCTTCTTCCCAAAATGGAAATATTCCTCCTCCAAGCATTCATTGTTGTCAACTCTTGTTCACTTTTAATATTCTGAAATCTTCACTGGCTCCAAACAGTCTGAAATGCTTTCTAGTCTAGTACCCATAACTGGGATCTTAAATATGAAAGTTTGACCTTCTCCTGGAAGCCTAACTATTGCACAAATTTTTAGGCTTTTATTTCTTTTCCTGAGGAAGTCGAAAAATCCATAGGGGGGGAGAAACTTGAGGAAATGTCATTTTTTTTCACAAAACTACACATCTCCATTCTGCCCTCTGTAATGAACCATCTAGCAGCTGCCATCACTGCAGGGCTGGCCTGTGTCTGCTTTGTCAAAGATCAGATYTGGTACAATACCTCATCTTTTACCATAAATACATTGTACAGTGATGGATGATAGAAAGCACCTAATATAGCATATATATAGAAGACACATTTCTAGGATAAGCACATAAGATTTATGAGTCCACAGGTGCCCATAAATTGCCTTAGCATCCTCAACAATTACCTTTACTGAGATGAAAATGACATGAAGCAAATAGAAGGTAAGAATTTTTGTAGAAAGTACCTTAAATATAATATTCATGCTCATGGAAGTGTATAGATATCTTCAAAAACCACACGTATTAAAAGGATATGTGTATGTACACTAGGATCCTAGGATGCTTTATTACTGCCCTTTTTATGCTACATTGCTCCATCAGTTACTTATTCCAGGTTGTTTCATCTCCTTTGCCTCTATTTCTTTTACTGAGAAAATGTAAGGCTAAAGAAAGAGCATTTAATTGCACTATTTGCTTCCCCAAGTTATGTCTCTGTCTAATTTATCCAGAAATGAAATTTGTTCTATTTTAAAAGATTTCTGTCCTTTCCAACTAGTATCATCATACTTTGGGCTACAGCACTGTATTACAGTATGTGTTAAATCATTGCTTTTCCTGCAGGGAATGGAATCCATCATGACAACCACCTGGAAATAAAGAGCAGGCACCTCACAAAGACTGGAAAGGCAGCAATTCAGTTCCTTACTAGACTGGCAAGCTCATTTTCCCACAAGTGAACAGGTTATGACTCACTAGTAAAAGATGTAACAGATTTTTAATACACTGGCCTTAATTTTAACAACCTTTAGAAGGGGCTCAATGGGAGAGAACTTTTTATCAGACTATAAAGCTGAAGTTACGTCCTGCAAGCAGAGTGTTTCAACTTTTTCGGTTGCATTTAAGAGTAACCATCTTAAACTTTGAGCAGATTGCAAAACCATAAAAATTAGACCACACWGTGAGTAAAAATATGAAGGTGATTCACTTGTCGCTTCCTGGCACAGGCTGGAGACAAAACACATTTATCAGATGTTTGAGTGGCCCTGTGCTTGTGATTATGGATAGTGACACGCAAAGATTTGAACTGCGTTTGTTACCAAACAGGTGCAGTCCCTTTATCAGCAGAGGTTCTGCTGCCTGCACCAGACAGACCAACTCTTCTGCCATATGGYTTGTGTCCTGTTCATCCATTCTAACTTGCAAATGGCAAAGGAGTTATTCCTTTCCCTGTGCACTCAAAGCTGTCCCACGGGGAGCCTGGGCTCCCTGCATGTGCTGTGGCACATTATTGCAATGCCTGATATACTCCAACCAAGGACAACCAAGGACAGGCAAAAGCRGCGAGTCTGGTCTGTCAGTTTTACAGCCTTGATGTGAAGATGAATGACTTATGTGACCATTTCGGAAGCAAATCAATATAAACAGAAGTCCTGTTTCATAGGAACACAAAGGGACAAATGAAGAGACAGGAAATCACTAGAAATCTTTTCCATCCCCTTTAGATATTCAAACAGAAGCAGAAAGTCCCTGTTCCCAAACATTCAAATACATTTCCCAGCTTCCAGGTGAATTTTGGGTAAGTAGATCTTCTGGGTGTCTTGGTTTTGACACCATCATAACTCCCTCCTAACACTTCCTCTTCATGGGGGAATGTCAGCAGGTTTTCACTGTCTGGGGGAAAAGAGTAATGTTCTGAAAATGAAGCAGGAGAGAAACTGTGAGGGCGAAGCTCAATGAGGATGGTATTCTCCACAGCAAACTCCTTTTTGGAGAGATGAAAAGCATGAATCCAACTGTTTTGCAAAGAGGAGTGAAGTAACAAAATCAAATCCTTTCATATGCATATTTTATATCAGCAGCACAGTCACAGAGATACTTCTAATCTCATGCTYTTCTTTTAATGTGTAGCAATTGGGGTGTGCAGAAGAGCAGCTTATCTGATTCCTGCAGGMAGGTTATAGACCTGGCTCTCATGCTGTTTGTGACATCTGGAGCACTTCTCTTCATACTGAATTCCTCCTYCTCTTCCTTTTCCTCTCCCTTTTTGCCCCCAATAGTCCATTTCATTCTTCTGTTTTCATCTCCAATAATCTTTCATTGTTGGTGACCTWAACCTCAAGTTACCCTCCAAAGGCCTGTAACTGCTGTTATTGATTCAGTGCCATCTGTATCTCTCTCCCTCCCTTTCAGGAGGGATAAATGTGGATGGTGACTGCTCCGAGACRCTGCATGCCTTGCTGACCTTTCCTTTGAGAGCTTTGAGGGCACATAAAGGCAATGTGCTGGTGGCTACTGGGTCTTTTGGTCAACAAAACACACACTCAGACATGGCTGTGGTTTCAGTGTTTAATTGTTTACAAAATCATTTGCTGAAAGCARGTTGAGCTTGAGCCAACAGCAGCTAGAGTTAATGTATTCCACAACTGCAGTGGCTCCAGCTGCTCCAGATGTTTCAGGACTTTTGTGAGGTTCATTCCTTGTCAGCTGTGGCAGCATTGCTGAGGATGCTGTGTGGCTTAACTTCAGTGTCACCCAATGATAGCACAAACCTAATCCCACAAGTAGAGATCATTTCCAGTAACCATTGTTTCCATGTTTCCATGGTTACTGGAGAAATKTCTATTTTTGCTTCATGAAGCTATTAAAAAAAACAGAATGTCTTCCAAAATCTTTGCAAGGTTAAAGTTAAATTATGAGTAGACAATATAGCCATTTTTGCTTCATCTGTGCCATCGCTTTACTCCCTTTTCACCCTTTCCATTGCTTTTGAGCTGCTGGTCCACAGCAAAGCTACTCCTCAAAAATAACCCAAAAGGGGGCAGCTATCAAATTCTTTCCTATGGGGTTCTGGACAGACTTCAGACATCATTCATTCAAATTAAAAGAAAAAAAAATTGATTCCAAGGTCCAAAGAGTTTCTCATTTATATGAAAACAGTTAAAGCAGATGCAATGGAAGTTGGCAGTAAGCTTCTGCTCCATTTTAATAGCAAGTCTGCCTACAAGGGCCAATATAATTATTTTTTGA